CAGGGCCCGGGCTCCGACGGCGCCCAGGGCCGGCGGCCTCCGGGGAAGGTGCTGAAATCCCTCAGGATTTTATTTTGCGCAACCCCCTGCCCTCCCAGGAGGAATCTTTTCCCGATCGCTGATGCTTGCTGGCCAGTCTGAGCCCTGAAACACAGGAATTCACGTCCTTTTCAGCATCCGTGTTTGTTTTCTTACAGCTGTGTTGCTGAAACCCCTGCTTCTCTCTATCTGTACGAAGGTCTAGTCTTCTTCCCGATTGCCCCTCTGCTCCTGGCCTCTGCGGCCGCCTGGGCAGCGACCTCCGCATGCTGAAAGGGAAAAACTGCTCCCTTTCCCTCCCGGCTGTGGCTGGGGGTTGGCAGGGGCCCGGGGGAGGGTTAGCGCTGGGCTCAGCCCAGTTCGTGCTGGACTGAAGTGAGATTATTCCTCGCGGGAAGGGGCTGTCCGTGTCCTCCAGGCGCGTGCACGGGGACAGGCTCCTGCTGCCCCTGCCCTCCTCTAACGTGAGGTGCCTCGGCCGGTTATCCGCAGGTCGAGGATCTGCCCTTGGATGGCTCCGGTTTCCAGCTAACAGAGCAGCAGAAAGAGACACGCGTAGGGGAGCCTTTCCACCAAACCAAACTTTGTGTGTCTTTGTGACTGCTGTTCGCCCCGAGACCCATTTGTGGAGGATTTATAGCAAGCCCAGAGTTTGCAAACTATAAAACACAAAAATGAAAATAGCCTGTGAATGAGGGAACTGACAGGGGGGATGGATTGGGCCGAGAGCTGGATGTTAGAGAGACACGCTAAGAAAACAAGAGAAACTCTTGTGATCTGGGATTCTGGGAAGTTATTCATACTTAAAGGGCTGCCAGGGCTGGGCACTGGGGAGATGATTAGTGGCGTTTAGTTAGTCATTTTTTATTGTGTTTCAGTACAAATTATGATGACATGAGATGAGCGGGAGAGGAGGGGGAGACCTCAGCAGGAGCCCAGGGCTTGGGGGACTCCTGGCCGCGCTGGTTTTGGGGCGAGCCGCGGTCCTCCTGCCCGGTGTGCGGTGCAGGCGCAGCGAGGGCCAGAGGCCCTCTGCGGCTCCGGGCTCTGCCTGGCCGCGCGCCACAGACGGGGGGCCGCGGTCCGTGTTAGACCAGACAGCCGAGCTGAGTGAGGATCATGTGTGCCAGACTTTGCAGTTGGAGGAGGGTCTGTGTAGCCATGTGAACTGTGGGCCAGGTTTCCTTGATGGCTGCTTCTGGGAGCCTGCAACCAGAATGGTGAATAGCTCAGGAGATCATGATAGATCATGAGTTGCGACACCAGCCGCTACAAGTCTGCTTTGCCAGACCTCCTCTGCAGAGAAAGAGGCTGAGAACGTTATGCTGCATTTTATTTTGGGAGCTCAAGAAAGGGGCAACCGAGGGTCACCATCCCTCCCTGAGGGTCAGACCCTCTATGCCAGCCAAGGAGGAATAAGTCAGGTCTCCTCCAGGTGTGAGCGCTGGCGCGAGGCCTGCTGGAACAAACGGAAAGATCCCTGCCAAGGCCAAAACCCACTGATCCACTCCTTGGCGTTGATGCAGGAGCAGGAGGGACCCACCTGGGGGGTTCGGGGAGAGGAGCTGTGCCCCAGCGGAGCAGAGGAATTGAGAAAGCTGCTGGCTGAGCTGGGTGACCTGCAGGGGAGCATGTCCTCTCTTGGTTAGCACAGGTCCAAGCGCACTCCCAAGACCCTGCTGTCTCTGTGAGTACCTCATTCTCAGGACTCACATAAGCGGTCTGACATCTACCCTGAGATGCTTCACAGTTTGGAAGAAAGTCTTTCAGCCCTCCTAAAATGATGCTGTGGGGGGAATAACGGTGGGATTGCAGTTTGCGTGTGGCACGTGCAGCACCGCCGTGGGAGGTGCTGGGATCACGTGGGGCAGCGGCCGTGTTCACAGCTTTGCTTTGCTCTCTCTAGGGTTGGAGGAAATCATACCGAGGCCTGTTCAAGACGCAGGGAACATTCTGAAGCAAGGATATTTGGAGAAGAGGTCCAGAGGTAAGGCCTGACAAATGCATCATAAAATAATAGAAAAGTTTGGGGAGGATCAGTTTTGGCTGCTTTTCTTCCTTTCTGGTAAAGTAGGGTAGATGGTGAGTGAGATACTGGGGGAAGCCTTTGGGTAGAGGACCTGCTAAGGCTGATGGTTCTCCTGAGGAGCACAGCACATTGAGGGCATCGCTAGCACAAGAGGGGATAAACTGGAAAAGAAAGAAATGTTTATTTGGGAGTTTGGTGCTTCTTACAGTGGGGTTAAGAAATCTGCCGCCGTGGTTGGGGCACTCTCATCCCTCTGACAGCCTGTGGGATTTCAGTGCCTAAGCTAACTCTTAAAAATGCAACTCTCCTCCAATCTTGACTTCTACTGGGTGTGAGGTCTGGGACAGCAGCTGTCTGTGGGGCTGTCTGCCCCATGTCTGCAGTCAGAGGCGGGAGCACCCTCTATCCTGCCTGATCTCTCCAGGGACTGCTCCAGCAAATCAGGGCAGCTCTGAGTAACCAAGAATTCGGATTGTTGGATGAAGAACAAACAGTAAAATGCATCTTTTCTGCAGATTTGACAGTGAACACGCGCAGAATCTTTCAGATTTTTCTTAGACATCGTATATATATAGGGAGAGTACAGCCTTTATTTTTTCTCCATTGCAGATCATCAATCTGCACAAAGATCAAAACTCAGAAATTGAATTAAGCAGCAACCCAGTCTTTTAGGGCAGGATGTGTCCTTGCTAACGAGCAATACCTAATGAGGATAAAATCCTGGTGAAGACAAGGTAGTTCTTAGCATCGCACACATTAGCAAGTTGAGATAAGGACTGTGAGTCAGCCTCAGGTTTATCTTGATTTTACTGACTCTTGTGAAAGCTACAAATTATTTCCTCATCACTCAGATCTTATCTTGATTTATTTACTGTATGATAGGTAGGATGAGGTAGGAACAGCCCTTTATTCCCCGTGGCTGTCAGCCGAGCTGCATAACTGGCCCAGTGCATGTTTTAGCTTGTTCCAGTTGCAGAGTAAAAGACATTTGCTTAAACCTCAGTTAGGCTGGTTTAACGTAAAGTCTTCTTCCCTCCCAGTTAGTAGGGCTGAGGGCTTCCTGGTGCCAGGCCACTGCAGCTTGCTGTGGTGCTTAGCTTGGGAAGGCTCGGAGGGGGCTCCCAGCATGAAGAATGGGCAGCTTCTCTCATGCTTGCTCTGGAGGTTTTGTCTCTAGATTTCCTTACCTGAATTTTGTGCCAGAAACCTGTGGGATTCTACTGGAAGAAGAGTCTTCTTTCCCCAAACTGTTTCATGTGGGGAAGCACACAACAAAAGAACAGAAATGAATATTTTTCACTCCTTTGTTTTCCTTTTGTCTCTAGACCATGGCTTCTTTGGGTCGGAGTGGCAGAAGCGGTGGTGTGTCCTCAACAGAACTACCTTTTACTACTATGCAAATGAGAAAAGTAAGTGGGGAGACACTTGCCTCCGGTCCCAGAGCTGTGTGTGGCGGCCAAAGGCACGGACAGGCCTGGGAAGGGAATGGGGAGAGCCCTTGCACGTGGACAGTTAATGTCTCACCAGAGAAAAGCATCTATTGTAGACCATTTCACTGCTTGGAGCTGCTGAGATTTTAAGGATGAACTTGGCTGAAGTAACCTGAATTCAGTCATTCCTTACCATGGCCAAAGCATGATGCTCCCTGGAAATGTCTCCCTTTGGGAGAGGAAAGCCGTATGGGCCCCTGGTTCCTGGGAGCCTGTGGGGCAGTGTATCCCCAAGGCAAATTATTAGGAATGCAAAAACAAGCAAGCAGACCTTTGCTACTTATTTCAAGTGAAAATGAGATGTTGGCTGCAATTTCCAAAAGGACCTAAAGGATCTGGATGTCATTTGTCCACTGCTTCCTCCTGCTGAAAACTGAACCCAATTTCTTATCTTGGACTTAGGAGAAATAAGAGGAAGATTATAATTCCCTATCAAAGCATAAGATGTGGGCTCTTCTGGAAAGGTAGATCTCAACTTTTCTTCTTTTCCAAACATCCTTATAGGTAGGGAACAAGAGAAGAGAGATACAGGAACAGAGGTATCTGTAAATAAAAAGATGTACCAAGTTTTCCATTAGCCATGAGCTGGGCTTCAACCCCCTAAGTGACTGTATATAATCCATGTGTCAGTGTATATAAATATTTTGCAGTCATGCTCCATCAGGTACATATAAACAGACAGCTAATATCTCCAACAGAGTTTGGCATGGCTAGATATATGGCCTTCCTCACTCTGTTCCACCCATCCAGAAACACTGCACGCTAACGGATTGCAAAACATACACATACATCCTTGGTTTACAGTGACCAGTCTGCAGATAGGACAGAATTAAACTCCGATGATGAATGTTGATGAAGCTGGGTCTTTGTCTTTCTTCCACACCCTTTGTCTGAGGATCTCGAGCACTTTTTGCAAAGGTTTCCAGAAAAGTTTCCCAACTCTTTTTGCCCTGGCAACGTGAGGCTGTTCCCAAAAGCCAGAGGCTGAGGCACACACAGGGGTATGAGCTGTTCAGGCTCTCCCAGTGAGCCGCTAGCAGAGGCAAGTGTTGAAGCCAAGAGTCAATGTTTGGTTCTTTCTGTGGGATGAGCGGTTGTCAGCTTCCAAATGGTCTCCAGAAGATAACAAAGTAAAGCAAACCGGTTATCGATGGGCTGAAATCCTTACATAGGGCTTGGCCTCACCCTGGAAGTTTTTAAGGATCTGCAAATCAAAAAAAGGTTAAGAGCAACTGTCTGAATCATACTCCCACACTTACTCAGGAAGATTCATAAGGAAATAATGAGCTGGATGCCCAGCTGGGGTAAATAAACACGCCTCAGATGAGTGCAGTGAAGATCCCTCTCTCCACCCTGGCTGACCCTGGCTGTGCACATGCATCTGCAAAATCCATAGGCCAATTCTCAAAGGCCCCACTAAGCATTTCTTCCTGTATGCCAGCCCATTAATTCTTTACCAGCAGAATAATCATTGGTATCATATTTCCCCAAGTACAGTGGCCTCTGCTTCATTACAACCAGCTCATCTCATGCAGTCTTATGACCTTGGCAAATTTTTGTTGGCTGTTCACAGTCTCTTGGGACTTGAAAGGACATCCTCTTTACTGTGTCTTTATGAAGAAGTTATAATGTTCCCTTTGGATTTCCCTGGGGGTAGAGATGCTTAGCCTGGGGCTCTTTTTTGGCCATCTCCCATTGACATGTGGTGTAACATAGTTTGCAACTCTGTGTATTTTGGTTTCCCTGTCTAGGCGGCAAACATCAGCACCACCCAGGTGGTGAATTGCGTAAAAGGTGCAGGCTCCAAAGGCAGCAAATTTCTCTTCTTACAGGCAAACAACCTAAAGGTACCTTTTCCATTGAGCACTATAGTGCCCGACTGGCTTCCCATCTCCGCAAAGACTCTCGAAGAAAATGCTGTTTTGAATTAATCTGCCCTGGCAAACGTACCTACGAGGTAGGAACACGGGGAGGAAATTAATCCTTTGTGCAGACTGACCACCAGGCCCCACAAGACTGACCACCACAAGAGCATGTGGTTGCAGGTCTGGGGCACAGGCTGGACCTGCAAGGTCAGGGGTGCTGTGATTTTCCAAACCTTAATCTCTAGTGGAACAAACATGTGACGCTGCAGAAGGTGTCGATGCTTCTCATTTTTGGCTGCTCCTCTGAGCATGGACGTTCCCTGGATGCAAGATTGGTCCTGGGCTCTATTTGCACTTGGTGCATAAAGGTTAAGTGAGAATGTGGGTTAAAAGCAGTAGTGGATTGAGTTTGGAAAGCCCATTCCTAAAATAGGAATTCACAGCCAGGTTTAAATTTAAACCTCTAATTTGTCGAGCATCAATGGGGGAGCCTGGAAACTGGTGTAATGATAAAAATGACCCAAACCACAAAGTGTGCGTGAGAGGCTTTCTGAACTTCCAGGACATTTTGGATCTAGAGTCTTGGTTCAGACTCAGTATAGTATATTCAGTAGGGATTGTGGTTTTCATCTGAGTTAGTTTAATGAATTAAGCTTGACAGCCTTTCTATGGGATAGTCTAGCTTTGTTCCGCTTCTGTTTCCCTGTTTGGAATATGGAGATAAAGGAGCGAAATGGCTTTCCCAAAGTCACAGCCTAGATGAATGGCCGATCCAGGATCTTAGTCCCATATTCTAGCTGCAACCCTTTTTCCTCTTCTTACATCTAAGAAACAGCATGGTAACTGGTGAACCTCTCTCCAGTTCACAGCCCGAAGTCCAGCAGAGGCTGAAGACTGGGTGGACCAGATCCAGTTCCTCCTGAAGGGTGAGTCTGGCAGCTTGGACTGAGCCAGCATGCCATGTTCGTTCAGATAGATCCCAACACCCGTGGGGCACCTGGCTGAGGAAGGGGCCTTTCTGCCCTCAGGACTGTGCTGAGCCAAGGGTAGGTGAGCCCAGCTCCACAAGGATGTTTGGGCAGCAGCTGGGGCCAGCTCTGGGGCTTTGCTTTTTTGGTGTTTGAAGCCTGTGGGCATCTGTTTTTAACTCTAGCGCTTTGGGCTGCTCTTAGAGTCCTGTGGTCTCTCAAAGGCTGCAAGTGTTAGCGAGCAGGACAAGAATGAGACTGCAGAGGAAGAGGGTGGGAATCGCTCCTCACTGCCATGGTCACAGATCTGCCATTCTGTGCTTGGCTTATAAGGGTCGGGCTGTTGCTCTGGCTCCACTGGAGTCACTCCAGTTTGAGGCTAACAAAACTGAGACCAGACTCCAGCCCTGCATATGGAAACCCTCTAGAAGCCATAGGCAGCTGCACTGTTTCAGACCCCGTGATGATTTCCAGTCTGTTAGTTCACGTCCTGGCAAATCGGTTGTATTTAATTCATTGCAACAAACCCTGTGATTGTGTTTCCTTTCCTTGTTGTCTTGCTTGAAATCAGTCTTCTCTGAAGTGTCCAGTAATGGGGTCAGGCCGAGTTCCTTGAGGTGCTTGTTGAGTTTGGATTTGCTCTCTGGTATTTTCCATCTTTCCTTGGGTTTGGGTTTTTGTTTTTTTAGCCTATCCTCAATCTCTGTCCTATTTTCTTTACATCAGATACTCATAGGCTAAGCAGGGGCGCTCCCTGCAATGTGCATAGTGAGGACAAAATGCAGTTGCATAGCCTTTGTTACTTGATTTCCACTCATTGAAAGCACCAGCATGCAGCTTGGCAAGCTTTGCTCTTTTTCATCATGTTTTTGCTCTCTCCTGCCAGACCTGACCTCCGTCACTATCCCGTATGATGAAGAGGATGAGGAAGAGCTCTACAATGACGTGGACAGTTCTGACTCTCTGAATACAGCATCCCACAACACTACCATGAATCAGGAGGAGCCAGACGATGGGATAGGAGAGGATGACATCTATGAGATTTTGCCAGGTGAGCGGCTGAACAAGCAGGTTGAAAACTGAGCCTTCCCTTTGCTTTAATCCCCTTTAACCCTGCAAACATGGCAGGGGAGCTTGGCCACATAACAAATTGACAGGAATAAACATCTCAGGCTCTGCTGAGTCTAATGGAGCCATAACTCAAAGGTTTGACCCTATTTCTTTGTTCAGACTGGTTGATGGGCCACAAGACCAAATGCTTTCCGTTCTGGTGAGGTGGAGGGTTTGTAAATCCAGGCGACGTGGCTTTTAGAGGTTGTGCTCCATTCAGCGCGGGTAATATTAAGTTTGGTGAGAGTGGAATCTCTGGGCTGTGTTACCTGCAAAATCAGACTGAGATGATGAAAATGCTCCCTTCTGGGCATGCAGTCGTGGCTGTAATGCAATTACTGGCCTTCCAAGAGATGATAAAATAACTGCATTAAAGACTAGCCCCTGTTCACTAACAGTGCACTAGGCCTGGAGGTAGCAGCGCAGCGGCTGCTGGTTAAAGGAGCCAGAAGCAATCTTCTTGGCACAAAACCAAACTGCCTAAGAGGGCAGCATGGTCTGCAACATTTCTTACCATTGTAGTAGAAATCATTGTGTGACATGCCTCAGGGCTTGGTCAGTGGATCACCTGAGCCTTATTCAAACAAAGGTACTGTCCTGCCTCTGAGCCGAGGTTGGGACTGTCCAGCTCTGCACCCCGTCACCTATAGCTTGGTGTCTGCGTTCAGAGATGCAAAATAGATCCTTGTTTCCTTTTAATTTATTTAAGAACTTTCTATTTGTAGTGATTAAAAAAAATATTAAATGCACCAGAAATTTTATGGTGCTCAAGATCTTTATCCAGTTATTGCTGCTGAAGGAAATCGTGGCTCAGCAATTTGCAAGGGGCATCAGGACAGCTGCCAGGAGCGGAGCTGGGACTCAGGGAGCCCAGGCTGCCTGCGCAACCCTGAGCAAAGCCTCAGCTTCTGTCCATCTCTGATCTTTCCTCCCTGACCTTCACTTTCTCTGTTTACTTTGTAAACATTGTGGGCAGCAGCTTTCTCTTTTCCCAGGCATACCTACAGCGGGGCCCTGAGCTCAGCAGGAGCCTCCGCTCTGGGGTTCCCAGGCTGCTGGGTGCGAACCGCTGATGGTCTGTCAAGCCAAGGGTTTCCAGCATCCCTGGCAGCTTTGGCAGCTGTGTTCGACTCTTTGCTGCCTTGTGGCTGACAACGCCAGCTACAGAGCGGATATTAAATGAGGTTTGTACTGCATGCTGCTAATGGTGATCCTGACAGGAACTTGCACAGCGTTAGAGGTAGGGATGGACACCTCCATTGCCCTCACTCCTGGGTGCAAAGTGTAGGAGTGATTTGTGCCCTTTGAACAGATCCAAACACTCTCCCACAGGGGCAGGGCACTGGAGACTCAGGCCAGTGGGGTACGCAGGAAGGGAGGCTCAGGCCTGCTGCTCCTCGTGAGTGCTGCTAACGGTGCCTGTGATCCACAACGTCTTTCCATCTCTCTTGCAGCCCTTTTGACGCTCTGCACTCCTCGCTGCTTGGCCAGCCGACCCTGTGAGCCAGGTTCACCCTTGGTTTCCATGGATATTCCTCCCCTGCTCCCACGCAGTAGATTGGTGTCCTGATGTCAGGGTTGCAGAGTATCCTGGTGGAGGAAGGAACATCCCAACAAAACCCTTTGTTTAAACCATTGCTCTGTGGGCTTTTCCTGTGCTTTTGGTCCTGCCCATCCCAGCTTCATAAAAGCTTGCTGAGGAGGTTCTTAGGATGGTCTGAATGGTTGTGGCTCAGGCTGCTCGCTCACCAGCCCACACGCTGCAAACAGCAAGGTTTAAGCACCTTGCTTCAGCAGTGCTTTTGCAGTGTCCTTTGCCCCCTCTGCGTGGGCATCCTCGGTGTTTTGCAGTCCTCAGGGTGAAATACTGCTGAGGAGAGATTTCCTCCCTGCCCAGAGACGTTCTTCTCCTGCTCCTTCTGCAGATACATATGGAGCCACAAGGCCTGGGGCTCCTGCAATGGAGCAGCTAATGGTCCTGGCTCCCTGCAGTCCTGGGGGATTCCTGGACACGCTGGGCTGGCAGGACCCCCAATATGGGGTCTCTTGCACGGGGATGATGCTGCTGCGCAGGGGCTGCTGTCAGGTCCAGCAATTCGGCCAGGCCTTCTGTATAGCGATACGGCCCTGGCACGCTGGCATGCTCTCCGCCCGGCGTCACAGATGCACTGAGCCAAGGCGCAGGCAGGCGCGATGTGGGACAGCTGCCTCTCCCCGCATCGCCTCTGCTCTCCAGCCATCCACACCAAGCATCCTGTCTGCAGCCCATGTCTGGGCACCCTGGCTGGAAACGCGCGGGCACTCGCGTGTGGACTCGAGTGCTCCACACTCGGAGCAGGGACCGAGCAGCTGCTGCCGCACCAGGGGAAGCTCAGATGCTGCACAGGATGCTCCAGCAGGACGCAAAACTATACCTGGTTAGAGGCCCCACAACCAGAGCAGCTCCAGGAGGAGGGGGAGGATGATGTGGAGAAAAGGTGCCTGATGGCTCCAGGAGTCCCTGCGCTGAAGGAGAGTCTCAATCTAGCATGCGGTCATGGAGAGGTGGCAGAGTCCATCTTCTCTGCTCAGAGAGAACGCCGGCCTCTGTTGCCTTTGCCCGGCTGTGGCTGAGCTTTCCTGGCGGGAGATTTGTTGCTCCTGTTTCTCGTCACCACCCAGCGCTCAGCCCCTGCGTGCAGCCGGGCTGCCTGCGGGGTGTGAGGGTACGTGAGATGGGTGAGAGGCAGCTCCCTGGTTCATGTGGGGTCCTCAGTGCGGGGAGGACCCGGTCAAAATCCCTGCTCCGACACAGCTTTCCTCTCTGGCCCCAGGCAACTTCCTTACCCCTTGCCCCATACCCCAAGTCTCTGCTTTGTGAAACATTGGAGGTGGTGGCGCGTTGCTGGGGAAGCAGACCCCCAAGCGTGAAGGTAGTGGCAAACGGTCGCGGGGACCCAGATGAGCACTCGTGGCAGGTACGAGAGGGCTGCTCTGCCCGGGGTGCGTCTGCCCCAGCCCGTCGCACCCCTGGCCCCCCCGACAAGCGTGGCAGGGAGTCACTGTCTGAGCCAGGGTCTGCTCCGGGCCAGGCTGCTTCTCTGGTGTCCCAAGCAAAAACGGAGAGAGAAAAAGAGAGGGAAAAAAGAAGGGGGGGGAGACGAAGAGATAATTTCCTCAGCAAGTCATCGTCGTTAATGAAGTTTTACAAAAACAGATACAACCAAGGAAAAATAAAATTTCACAGGTGATAAATTTTTCCAATTTCCCTGGCAGAATTCGATAGGATTGTTAAATTAAGAGTGAAGGTGTCTGTTAGGAAGCAACGAGCAGTGATGGGTAATTTTATAGAGTGGAAAATTGAATCAAATTGCTACATTAAAACACAGCTCCTCTGAGCATCTGCCCGATGCCCAGGCTGCTCCGGCACGACGGCGGGGTGCGCGGCCCGCTGGCGCTGCAGCCCGGCCGTGGGCCGGGGCCG